TACACTGTACTATATACACACTATACTATACTACACTGTACATCCAGGGACAACGACACACACTTTACACAGTACTTTTCCACAGTACTTTTCCAGTGTACTTTTCCACAGTACTTTTACATAATACTTTTTCACAGTACTTTTACATAATATGTTTTCACAGTACTTTTATATAGTACTTTTACACAGTACTTGTACACAGTTTGTATATAATAATAATAATTGTTTGTGTGTTTGTGCAGACGAGCTGTCGACTGTGGACAAACCCAAAGACACTTCAGTGATCTCCGACCCCAACCCCCCCAATAACCACAACATCCCCCTCATCACAAAAGGTACACACTCATCACAGAAGGTACACACTCATCACAAAAGGTACACACTCGTCACAAAAGGTACACACTCGTCACAAAAGGTACACACTCATCACAAAAGTTACACACTCGTCACAAAAGGTACACACTCATCACAAAAGTTACACACTCATCACAAAAGGTACACACTCATCACAAAAGTTACACACTCGTCACAAAAGGTACACACTCGTCACAAAAGGTACACACTCGTCACAAAAGGTACACACTCGTCACAAAAGTTACACACTCGTCACAAAAGTTACACACTCGTCACAAAAGGTACACACTCGTCACAAAAGGTACACACTCGTCACAAAAGGTACACACTCGTCACAAAAGGTACACACACACACACACAAAAGGTACACACTCGTCACAAAAGGTACACACTCGTCACAAAAGGTACACACTCGTCACAAAAGGTACACAATAACACACAACGTCCCCCTCATCACAAAAGGTACACACTGGTCACAAAAGGTACACACTCATCACAAAAGGTACACAATAACACACAACATCCCCCTCATCACAGAAGGTACACACTCATCACAAAAGGTACACACTCGTCACAAAAGGTACACACTTGTCACAAAAGGTACACACTCATCACAAAAGGTACACAACAACACACAACATCCCCCTCATCACAAAAGGTACACACTCATCACAGAAGGTACACACTCATCACAAAAGGTACACACTCATCACAAAAGGTACACACTCATCACAAAACATCCCCCTCATCACAAAAGTTACACACTCGTCACAAAAGGTACACATTCATCACAAAAGGTACACAATAACACACAACATCCCCCTCATCACAGAAGGTACACACTCATCACAAAAGGTACACACTCATCACAAAAGGTACACAACAACACACAACATCCCCGTCATCACAAAAGGTACACACTCATCACAAAAGGTACACACTCGTCACAAAAGGTACACACTCGTCACAAAAGGTACACACTCATCACAAAAGGTACACACTCATCACAAAAGGTACACACTTATCACAAAAGTTACACACTTATCACAAAAGGTACACAATAAAACACAGCATCCCCTCATCACAAAAGGTACTTTTCAAATGTTATGCTGTTCTAACGTTCTGACATTCTGATGTTCTACTGTTCTGTTGTTCTGTTGTTCCTGGTCACACTCAGAGCTGAAGTTGTGTTTATTTGAGTGTTTTTTTTCTGAGTCTATTACATCTGCAAAACTCCAAACACTCTGCTCCACCATGTGATGTCATCAAGTAGTAGTTTATATAAAAAAAAATGTGTTTCTCACCTTCCACGGTGGTTGGTCTCTCACCCTCATTCAGCTCGGGTCGTCTACCAGAGGCCTGGGAGCTTGAGAGTTCTGCGCAGTATCTTTGCTGTTCCCAGTTCTGCACTTTTCTGGACTGAGATGTTCCGTTGTTTTTCCCGGTATCTGTTGAAGCCTCTTCCAGTTTGGGGGTTACAGCCCCGAGTGTCCGATCACCACAGGCACCACTGATGCCTTTACTTTCCAGGCTCTCTCCAGCTCTTCCTTGAGCCCCTGGTATTTCTCTAGCTTCTCGTGTTCCTTTTTCCTGATATTACCATCGCTTGGTATTGCGATGTCCACCACCACGGCTCTATATATATATATATATATATATATATATATATATATATATATATATATATATATATTTTTTTTATATATATACACTTACCACCATGACTCTGTGAACGTCAAATACAATAAAAGAAAAGAATAAAAATGAAATAAAATAAACACAAATAAATCAACACATTTAAATTAAAATTCTACATGACTTACAGAACAAAACATAAAAAAAGTAAAATAAATATGTAAAAATTTAAAAAATAAAGTAATTAAATAAAAAAAAAATAATAATAAAATAAATAAATAAAGATAAAATAGATACAAAATTTTAACTAGAGAAATGAAGTGGTCAAGTTCTCAGCTCCTTTCGCCTTTAGTTGAGTCGAGATCAACGAGATGATTCTAGTGAAGGTGTGTGGAGTTTAAAAACACAGTGGAGCCCTTCCTGTATCACCACATGATGACATCACAAGGTGGAACAGGACTCTAAATGTGCAGGTTTGTGTGTGAAACATGTGAATGAAACAAAACACAAG